TTTGAAAAGTAAACGACCACTTGGGCGACCTCTGAAAAAGTGTCCCACATTCCTTAGGCAGTGGGGACTAACGCCCAGTTCAAGATAAGTTCGAATGGCCTGGCGCGGCAGCGCCCGGCGTATGGAAGCATTTCAGTATCATTACAAGTACGCAGTCTTACACCGAGTGCCCCGGTGGCTTTCATATCCTTGCTACACAGATATACATAAATATTAGACATATTTCTCAGATAAAGTAAGGCTTTCCAAGCAAAATGCAGAATCCGCCACGTCTTTTGGGCAAAATGTTAAACATACCACAATCAGTTTTATTACTTGACTGCGAATTTTGCATTATTCAAAACAACTTTTGCCAGCTTCTTTTATCAAAACTCTAAATGAGGGAAGGAATACTGGCATAATAACAATGAAGCTTTACCGCAAGGACAGGTGTGGTGTTATACTCAAGAGTCAATAACTGGCCAGCGCACCGACTGCCGGTGCAAAGATGCGTTTTTTGCATAATTCTCTGCAAGTTTTCGTCGCTAACCGCACCGGTTTTTCGGCAGATACTTCTAGCTAAACGAATTGAGACTGGCCCCAAGGCGCCTTAAAACTCCAGTCTCCTAGCTTTTCAGATTCCAAAGTTAGCAGCATATTCAAAAAAAACTTTGAGAGGGATGTGCGTGCGATCGACGTGGGTAGGAGCGCCCATTTTAGGGATGGGGGTCCGTTCATGCATGGAGATTAAGTTCCCAAAGTTTCAGCCCTGTAGCTTTTGTAGGTTTCAAGATGAAAAGTTGGCACAGACGAACACAAAACACAAATGCACACACACACACACACACATACACACACACACAAACACACACAAATACACACACAAACAATCCTCCTACAATACGCGTTTTTGCATTGCATTGGTGCAAAAAACGCATAAAAATTTGAAGCATAAGGATACCTCAAGGCGATTTTTGAGTATGTACCACAGTACAGACATTTGTATTGGTGTCATTATACATGAAGTGAATAGATCGGCCGGAAGATAGGAATCCATTGGAAGCAATTCGTTGTCACCGCATGCACCAATGTGGATACATTCCTGAATAATTAACAGATCGTAGGAATTTAGTAAAATATTCTAGCATGTTAAACGACATGCTAAAACATCCTCCGTATTTCCGCTCAATGACCGACGAAAATACTAGGGAGTAGTCCGCGGGGAAGCAAATGCCAGCAACAACTACAGTTAAAAAGGCTGCTGAAGCGCCCATCTTCCGGGGCCGCTTAGAAGCAAGCTGATGGCGAGTTTGACTCTCTGGCTACCTTATCACCAAAACAAACTGAACGAAGCGCAGACGGATTGGAAGTTTCACTGATAAGGCAAAACCCTCTATTTTTAGCATAGCAAAGGCGCGATTTGTCCCACTCCATCACGTAACTGTTAAAATTTTTTTTATGAATTAACAAAAAAGCACCTTGAAATTTGGTTTTTTCCGAAAACCAAAAGCAGTTGCTTTTTCTTCGATACTCATTTCAGCCTGGATAACAGGAAGCGGTGGTGGACGTGTTTCCATATGCTCATCCAGTTGTTTCACCCACTGTTTTTCATGATCTTCCGCAAAACGATTGAAAGCTTTCACTGTAATTTATGCAAAACCTTTACAAGAAGCTCAATTTCTTTCAGTCTGTGGAATTTATGTACCACAAAAAACCGCCAAACTTTGTGATTTCCTACACTCAAATCTAGCTCCTGTTGTTACTCAGATTAAAGGCTCCTGTTGTTTTCTTCTCTCGCACCCAGTATCGTAAATTAACGAAAAATAATTATTTATTCTCTCAAATTAGTACGATGGGGAGTATGAACAGCGGTGGAAATTAACTGGAGGTACGCAATTTGTGATCGAAGGAACAAAAATATTATTGTGCCTTAAGCGGGAGCTCCCAATAAAAATATTAACATGGGATCCTCACACTGACTGTCTGCGTTGTTTTTGTATTTTTGATAATTCAGTGCAAAAATTATTTGCAGAATAAACAATAAAAGTAATAAAAATTTACCGATTAGGCCAGCACAGTGGCAATCCCATACATATACAGTTGGATGGCCTATCCATGTTTGAAGATCGAAAATCGAAAGTGGAATATACTGAAAAAAGAAGTCAAAATGGAGCTAAGCTGATTATCGCATGATTGTAGCATGAAAGTAGTGTGAAGAACTTAAAAAAGAAGGCAAGAATAAAACGAACTGCGTAATGCAAGATGTAGAAATATTGCTGGTACAGGAAAAATAAATACAAGAGGGTTAAAACGTTTCTGCTACACACAGATGAAACATTAAAAAAAATCACTACAAATGCATCATATGTATTGTGCTAGGCATTTCTGTTATCTTCCTGTGAGGCTCCAAGTGCCTTTGTGGCCACAGTCAAGCTTTTTTCGAAACCTACGACTAAAATTTTGCAAAAGTGCACAGGTAAAGTAATAACCTTACACATCATAGTAATATGAACTGTAAGACTACACAATGTCGGAAGAGAACACGATGAATTAGTATTTCCCCACGGAAATACCTAGAAAAAGGGGCAAACGAGCAACAGATCAAATAGCTCTGATGAAAATAGCCGCGAAAACGATAAGGGACCAGAATGCGCATTGACCCTCCTCCTCTTCCCCAATCCCCTCTGCTCAAAAAAAAAAAA